AGACCAGAAGCACACAGCTATTTTACCTCCTGCAACTCATCCTTAGAATCACCTTCTGTCTCCATTCTTCTCTTGCTCGGGGGACACAAGCACCTGGTTCAGTTTTTATCCCTGCCCTAAGCCCCTATGCTGGCCCCAGGTGCCTTTAATAACCAGGTGACAGCCCACCCAACCATCTTCCTCCTGCTTCATGGCAAAGACCCCTCCCTTGTCCTCAGAGGGTGCTGCCCAGCCCCAGAGCTGCTCCTCCTCTGTACTGCCTTGCCCAGACATCCATAATCCCCCATCACATCTCTTCTTCATCTTCCCGAATCCACCATACCAGTCTTGTCTGGGAGAACTTCCTGTAATGATGGGATTATTCTTTATCAATGCTGTCTAAACCAGGGACAACTAACTGGGCAACTGAGCTCTACATGTTACTAACTTGACTTAATTCAAGCTGGAGCTGAAATAGCCACATGTGGCTCCAGACTCTTGGCTTCTCTTTCCTCTGCTATCCCTACCTTATCTTCACTTCCTTCTCTTTAGCCTTGTCTCCACTCTCTTGTTCTTTGGTCCCACCTCCCAGAAAACACCCTCCAATCTGGATTAATCCACTTATCCTTTCTCTAGGTCTACACAGGGACTGCTAGGAGGAGTGTGTGTGTCCCACGACTTTGCAAGCTGGCCACCAACCTCAGGAGGGCCTTTAATTCTTCCTGGGCATTGTCCTCTCTCCCTAGTGACCAGATCCAGCTCCTCTGTCCTCAAGCCTCAATTCCCTAGCCCGTCTTCCACTCACAGCATGGGTGTCACTTCCTATTTCATTCAAACAAGAGAAGCTTGGGACCACCTGATTGCTGATTTTACAAGGATACTTTTATCTCTCTTCAGCTTCTTTCCTCCTGCTGGCTCCTTCCTATCAACATTTAGGCATGTTCAAATAGCTTTATCTTAAAAACAACAATGAAAAGCCCCTGGCTTCCCTCAATGCCATGTCACCTTCCTGCTGGGCCCTCTCCCCCACCACTTGTAGTCACACTTCTTGGAAGTTGTCTACACCTGCTATCTCCACTTTCTCACCTCCCTTTCACTCCACAACCTGTGGCAGTCTGGCTTCTGTCCCCACCACTGCCCTGTAACTTCCAGTCAAGGTCACTAAGGACTTCCTTGTAGTTTAATCCAAAGCACTCGTTTCAGATCTTATCTTGACCTGTAAGGGATGTGACACTGCTCCCTGTCCCTCCTCCCTCAAAACTCTGTTGCCCATTGGTTTCTAGGACACCCTGAGTCTCCAAGTCCTTCTCCTCCTGTGGCTGCTCCTAGGTTTTCTCAAAATTCTCCCTGTCCCGGAGTGCTCTGTTGTTGGTCTTCGCAGGTAAAGCAGTGTGCCAAGAATGGCAGCTCCCCCTCCTAATGCATTCCTTACACAAACACCTGGGAATTTGCTTTCTCACCCAAGAACCACACTGTTGTTTTGAACTCCAGTTTGTACCCAGGATCCTGCTGCGCTGCTCGGAGCCTGATGTGCCTTCTCCGGTGTGTATTTATAACCCTCACTTTGAGAAGCTCTTGCAGCACTTAGACATCTGTTTTTTTCATTTGTCCCCTCAAAAGGAAGCATGCTTTAGGAAGGGACACTGACAAATTAGAGGGCACTTGGAGAGACCGTTAGGCAGTCAGAAAACCATGTCCTACAAGAAATCATTAACTGGGAGCATTTTTGCCTAGAAGAGATAAAAGAAGAGAGAGAAGGAGGAAGGGAGGAGGGGAGAGAGAGAGAGCCAGTTTCAAAAGTCTAAAGAGACAGGCTTCATCTGGGCTGTGTGCACCATTGCAAGTAGACCAACTGTAAAAGTGACAGGTGGATTTTGTATAGAGGCAGCAATATTCTACTGTATTCCAGAAGATTACAGACTGCTTGAATTGCAAGGTGGTGAGACAGTCCTGCCCAACAGAAAGCACTAAAGAAGGTAAGGTTAGACCTAAGTGACCACAGTAAAAGTGGGGAGTGTCCCCCATGCCTTTCTGAAGATCACAGCCCAAGCCTGGCTAGCAGTGGAGCTGAGCCACATTCCACAGCACAAAATTTCAAATTTGCTGCCCTGCAAGATCCATCAAAGCTCTGTGGACAGAAACGATGCAGCAAGGAGGCTTGTGAAGCTCTCTGGAATTCAGTCTTGCAGATATTCTAGGTTGGGTAGGCAGTGAGCTGAGTGCCCCAATTTTGTCTCTTTCAGACCCCTCCTTCCCAGAATATCTTTCCCTGACTTGTGTTTTGGTGCAATGCCACCAGCTTATATTGAGGGCCATGACAGAAACAGCCCTAGGAGCTCACTGTTGTGACTATTATGGGGATGTTGCCGGGATATTTGCTCATTACCTCACACTGTGTTCCCTTTATGAGGCCCCCCAGGAGAAATTCCCGTTTCATTTTAGTACCAAGAATAGTTGTAGTTCTCTTGAGCAATAGGTCTGTTTTTATCTCATGGACAGTGGGAATTGTGTAACAGACATGGTCTCCTTTTCATTTTGGTTGTAGGAAAGCTTAGGGACAAATTGGTAGCCCACCCACAGGAGGAGAATAGGCTATCCCAGGGTGCATTTTGGCATTATTCCCTTCTCTACTTTGTTTTCCCTCTTGCTTTTTCTTTCCTGTCTTAGCTGTTCTTATTTTACTGTACAAAACTGAGAACATGCAAGGAAAGATAAATCACCTGTAGTCACACTCTCCAGAGATATACACTGTTAACAATGTTGTCTTTTTATGCAGACTTTTTAAAAGTAAAAATGCCTTCACACTGTGCATATTCAATTTGCTTTCTCTCATTTCATATGCCATGAACATCTTTCCATGTAATTGAATGTTCCTTAAATAATTAAAAATTTCTGGATAGCTCTAGCAATTTAATACTAATAACACCTTGTACATGGCTTTATGTGTATTTACATAGCCATATATGTCAAGATACATTCAGGGGTATTACATAACTACAATATGTATTGTATGTACATGCATTATAAGCAATAACATTCGTATGCATCAATTCATTTGATGTTCAAAATCCTATGAGGTGGATAACCTTGTCCCCCTTACAGACAAGGACCCCAAGGTACAGAAAGATGCAAAGGCCTGCTAGGGTCACACAGTAGCATTCAAAGCCAGGTTCTCTGGCTGCAAAGTGTGTCCTCCTAAATGCTATGGTGTCTTTCACTATACTGTTGGGATTTCACAGTCTGCAATGGTTAACTATTTTATTTCCTTTCACTTCACTTCTAATTTATGTTATCTTGCCATATTTTAAGTACCCTTGTAAGTCACCTGAAATCCTTTCTGCCACAAGGCAAGGCATAAATAAACAGAACAGAGTGGTAAATGGCACACAAAGGCAAAGCTGAAGAGCTACTCCCAGGAGAGGGTGAATCCAGGCTGTCCTGAGATGAAATGGATTTATTTCCTGGGGCTGTGGTGAGCCTCCTTTCCTGGAAGAACTGGCTTGGGTGGCCTGCTCTCACAGACTGGGGAAGGCTAGGAAAGGCCTTCTTCCCAAGACACTGAGCTGAGCCAGACAAGCATGAGGCCCCTATTTAGATTTTCAGGGCATATGAAGATGCCAGTAAAACAAAATGAAGCATTTAATGGAACTAATGAATGGGGCAAGACAGCCCTTGGACCAGAACCAGGACCTGAGGCTTTTCCCTTCAGGTCTGTTACTGGGTCACACTCTTCAGCTAAGAAATAAACCAAAAGAAATGTGGTTCCAAATGCTCAGCACAGTAGATCCTTTCCCCTAAGCCCTTTGGCTGCTGCAGCAAGATAATCAAAGGATACTGTCACTGTCCTCAGTCCTTTTGTTTAGGTAACAATGAGGCCAGAAGGATGAGTTTAGTGGCTCCCAGGATGCTCCATGAGTCTATAATCGAGTGGGATCAGCCATTTGACAAATGCAATGGAGAGCAAGGAGCCCAGGTTCCCCCCATACCCCATTCTCATTATGTTGCCCAAGCTGGCCTTGAACTCCTGGGTTCAAGCAATCCTCCTGCCTTAGCCTCCAGAGTTCCTGGGACTAAAGGAGAATGCCACCATATCTGGCTAGGAATCCGAGTTTCTATTTCTCCATTTGATTTTTACTAGCTGAGAGATGTTGGGTAAGTTTCTTCAACCTTCTGAGATCTCAGTATCCTCACCTGTAAAATGGAATAACTATGCTGCCAAGTTGTGGGGATCCCATGAGATACTAGTGTTCCAAAGCACCCTTAAAAATGCAAGTGAGGAGGTACCAATAAACCCCTTCGGGGCTTATCTGGAGGGCTGGGTAGACGACCTTTGAGTGGCGCTAGCCAGTATCCAGATGCATACTTACCCCTTCAGCCTACTGCCCACCACAGTACCCTGGCACGCGAGAAGCCTCCTTCTGGACAATAGGCCCAAGGCATAGTGACAGCTCTGGGGTTGGGGGTTAGGACAAGCAGCCCCCTCACCAGGCCCTTGGGCAGGAGTAAGGAGCAGGCAGAGGTCACTTCCTTCTCCCCTTCCTCACGCCCCGGGGCTGCGTGCCCATAGGGACACGGCCTTGAGCGCGGTGCCACCGGGACGTCAGGCCGGGTTAGAGGAAGGCCCGACCTCGGCACAGCAAAGAAAACAAACACAGATGTGTTTGGCTGGGATCAGGAGTCGTCCCCCCCCCGCCCCCCCCCGCCTGCGTGCTCCCCCGGGCGCGGGGGTCCGGGGCTGCACCGAGCGCGGGAGACGGGGTGCGCGCCGGGCCGGCCCTCTCTCCGGGGTTTCCCTGGGCGCTGCTCTGGCTTTCTCTTTGTCTCTGCTGCTCTTTCTCGGGCTCCCCCAGTTCCCACCCCCTCGCGCTCGCCCTCGCTTGCGTCCCGGGCCGGTTCCCTTTAACTTTTCTTCTTTCCCGGGGTTAAAACTTTGCTCGCGAGCGGGCGGCTGCTCGCCGACGTTATTGGCCGGCGCCCCACCCGGCGGCCCCGCCCCCGCTCCCCCCTCCGCCCCCCGCTCCCAGCGCTGGCTGAGGCGGCGGAGCCTTCGGGGGCGTGCGTGCGTGTGTGAGTGCGCGCCAGCGAGCGTGAGTGTGTGTGTGAGCTCTGGGCGCGGGCAGGGCAGCACTCCGACCGCGGCGGGAGCGGAGGGAGCCCGGCGGTCGCGTCGTCACTCCAGCGAGCGAGAGCGGCGGCGGTGGCTGCCTGGGCTGGGGCCGGGACAGCGGCGACCGCTCCGGGCATGGAGCTGCCAAGCCCGCGCTGAGGCTGGACGCGCCCGCAAGAGGCTCTCCGACGTCCGGCGTGCGGGGCCCCCCCAGCCGGGGCCAGACAAAGTTTTCTTTTTCTTTTGCCCTCGCTAGAGGTAAAGTCTCGAGCACGGTCTCCCCAGCGGGGACGCGATCGGGGGGAGCAGAGAGGGACCCCAGGGCTGCGGGACGGAGAGGCAAGGGATGTGCGGGGTTGGGGGACCCCGAGCTCTCCTGCGACTGAGATTTGGGGTGCAAGGCGGGTTGGCTGCGGACGGGCGGACGGGCGTGGGGATGCCCCTTGGGCGGCGTGGAGGCGGGGAAACTCGCGAGCGTTCGCCCGCCGCCCTGGCTCACCGGCGAGGAAGAAGGGGCACGGGCAGTGCGGGCTTGGAGGTGCCCCAACTCGCCTGCCTCCGGAACTTTAGGGGAGCGAGGCGGGACGTTGCCGCGGGATTGGTGCTCTGCTCCCTGGCATTGGCCCGCACACCCGGCCACCACTCCACTGAGGGCCGGAGGGCGCGGGGCGGGTTGGCTGAGCGCAGCTCCCCTCTCTCCGCAGGCGCCTTCTGCGGCGGGCAGACCGACTCCTCGGCGCGGCGGGGCCGGGGCGAGCTGGAGGCAGCATGATGCGCGCAGTGTGGGAGGCGTTGGCAGCGCTGGTCGCGCTGGCGTGCCTGGTGGGCGCGGTGCGCGGCGGTCCCGGGCTCAGCATGTTTGCGGGCCAGGCGGCGCAGCCGGACCCCTGCTCGGACGAGAACGGCCACCCACGCCGCTGCATCCCGGATTTTGTCAATGCGGCCTTCGGCAAGGACGTGCGCGTCTCCAGCACCTGTGGCCGGCCCCCGGCGCGTTACTGTGTGGTGAGCGAGCGCGGCGAGGAGCGGCTGCGCTCGTGCCACCTCTGCAACGCGTCGGACCCCAAGAAGGCTCACCCACCAGCCTTCCTCACCGACCTCAACAATCCACACAACCTGACGTGCTGGCAGTCGGAGAACTTCCTGCAGTTCCCGCACAACGTCACGCTCACACTGTCACTCGGGAAGAAGTTCGAGGTGACCTACGTGAGTCTGCAGTTCTGCTCGCCACGGCCCGAGTCCATGGCCATCTACAAGTCCATGGACTACGGGCGCACGTGGGTGCCCTTTCAGTTCTACTCCACGCAGTGCCGCAAGATGTACAACCGGCCGCACCGCGCGCTCGTCACCAAGCAGAACGAGCAGGAGGCCGTGTGCACCGACTCGCACACCGACATGCGCCCGCTCTCTGGCGGCCTCATCGCCTTCAGCACTCTGGATGGGCGGCCCTCGGCACACGACTTCGACAACTCTCCGGTGCTGCAGGACTGGGTCACAGCCACCGACATCCGTGTGGCCTTCAGCCGCCTGCACACGTTTGGCGACGAGAACGAAGACGACTCGGAGCTGGCGCGCGACTCGTACTTCTATGCTGTGTCCGATTTGCAGGTGGGCGGCCGCTGCAAGTGCAATGGCCACGCGGCCCGTTGCGTGCGCGATCGCGACGACAGCCTGGTGTGCGACTGCAGGCACAACACGGCGGGCCCGGAATGCGATCGCTGCAAACCGTTTCACTACGACCGACCCTGGCAGCGCGCCACGGCCCGCGAGGCCAACGAGTGCGTGGGTGAGTGGGGCGCCGCGGCGACGCGGGCGGTGGGTGGGGACGCGATAAATGGCTCCCAGGCCTCGAAGCGGTAGGTTCTGGGCATCGCAGAAACAGCTGTATCTTAAGGTTTCGGGTTGTGGGGGACATGGGAGGAACAGCAGGAAGCGTGTTCAGGGATGTCCAAGTCCTGAGAGGGCTGAGAACGGGGCTCGAGTGGCGCTCGAAGTGGACACCCGGGTTTGCGCCCAGTGCCCTCTGCGAAGCCAAGAAGCAGTGAGAGAAATGCTACCGGGGGTTGGGAGTGGGAGTTGGAGAAATTTTGTGGAAACACTTTCATTGCCTCCCTCTCAGTTTGGCTAGTCCCTGGGAGTCATCTCTATCCCATCCCCCTTTCCTAGGGCTGCAGCTGGGCGCGCAGTTGGGGACCCTGTCCCTGTTCCCAGGAAGTTTCAGCTCCGTAACTACTAATCCTTTGGGAGAAGGCAGAGAGCACTCTGCAGTTCGGGGCCAATTCAACATCCGGCAAATATCACTCTTGCACCCTCCATTTGTCTTTTTACGGTTTGAAAAATTTCCGTTTCTCTTGAACAGCGTGTTTGTGTTAGCAAAAGAAGAGTGATGTGATTTCAATTAATTACTATCTACAGATTACAAAGGAGGGTTCAGTAACTATTTTAAACTAATTCAATCCTAGTCCCCATAAAAGGAAGTAAACCAGATTTTTTTGTTAGCTTCAGGGTTTGGTGCAATTGAACAGTTTTGAATTAACTAAGGGCCCAGGGTCTGGATTTTTAATGGAGTTTTAATTCCTGAAAGAGAAATCTGTCAAAACCGAGCACTGGTGAATAAGCCTGGATCAGAAATGATGCTATAAAAAGGATACATACGTTCTCCTTCTGAATTGTACAACTTTGTTGGTGCAGAAATTCTCTGGCATCTATTTGTTACTCCCCAGAGAGAGGGGAAATGGGGGAGAGAGAGAGGGTTGGGAATGGGGGAGAGAGAGTTGTTCAGTGTGAGATGTAAATTTCCAAATCCCACATAGATTATAATGAAAAATCATTTTAGCCCATCTATGTGCCATTTGGTGAGCATCTTTTGTGAAGATATAGTTCTTTCCTTCCCCACCCCTCCCCCCAATCCCAAAGAGCCAGCGTGAATCTGTTCAATTGCTTCATCCTCTGAAGCACATTGCAGTTTGCTGGTCCCCACAGACACACGTTTTAACGTCTGCTTCTGATTAATTGTGTCATGTTGTTGTCGAATAGTTTGTGCCTCATGACTGCGGATGCAGACTTTTGAGCAAGCGAATGGAAAACATGTCTTAGAGGGTCGGCTCAGTACAGAGGCCCAGGCAAGGCGCCCTGGTCTGCAGACGCCCGCGCCTCCTGTTGCATGAAGGAGCCTCCATTTTTACTCACCGTGACCCGCTTTTGCAGACCTAATTGTTCATCCTCATCCTTCAAGGGGCAGAACTGGCTTCCAGTTTGAAGAGACTTTTCGGGAGTCTGCAGAGTAGTTATACCCAGACTTAGTGGTCTTGGAGAATTAAGTTCCTTTGATCTGCTCAGTTCCCTCAGAAGTGTTGGTTTTTCTCATCTCATCTGTTCCCTTCCTTTCTTCTTTTCTTTTCTTCCTTTTGTGTGTAAAAACCCTTTATTGACATTTAAAGGGATTCCCAGGGTTTTGCTATCAGTTTTTTTTGGTATATACGTATGAAAGATGACTTGTATGGTCACTAACAGGGCCTAATTGGACAAATGGAAGTGAAAACATTGAGGCAAATGAACTGAATGTCCTGAAAAATGTTACTGGCTTGAAGATTCCTCTTAGTCTTGGCATTGTTCAGATTCTCACCACCCCCATCTCTCCCTGTCACTTTGGGCCTGAAGACGTAAGTTGTATTTCTTACAAGTATAGTTGAGCACTTGAAATAATCTATAGTTTAGGATATTTTGTCTTTCCACCAAAGCACTATGTACACAAATTGGATTGACCTTTTTTTTTTTTGCCAAATTGAGCAGTCAACATATTAACTAGTAATTAGCAAGTGTTTTGGTTCAAAAAGTTTAATTAAGCCTAATAAGTACATAATCTACATGACAAATGATGGGCAGAAGATATTTTTCTGGTTTTTACTGAAGTTATTTTAATTCTGAGTAAAATATCTTTAAATCTTGTCAATTATTCAGTCATTTCATTAAAGCAAAACCAATTCAACTCTGTTAAAGTTATTTATAGTTTCCTTTTTGAATAGATGTTCTGATATCTTGTAGATATAACTGGAAACATCAGATTGAAGTTCCCATAAAGTCTTAATTGAAGTCTTAGTGATTTTTCCATCATTCTGTAAAAGAGAAAACCAGCAAGGACAATTTAGGAGTGATTTACCATTAAAGGTCAAGCTTTTTATGAAAAGGTCCTTTAGTGGAGATACGTGAACGAATTAGTATTTGACAGGTGTTCTGAGATACTAAGGGATACTGTGCTAGGAAAAAGCATTAATAAATCCTTCAAACACCAACTTTATACTGTCAGAGACTCAGACCCCCCCCCACACACACTGTCCCATCTTGTGAATTTTACACTGTTGACACATAAAGTCAAGCTACCCAGACTATTTACAAACAAGACATAGTAAAGTACATTTTTTTAATTCCAAAAATCAGTCCTGATAAAAATGGGGCATTATCACTTTCTCATTCTGCTTTTGCTTTTATGAAATATGAGACATGATTTATAGTAGACTAAAATGGCATACTTCCCTAGATTAGTCTTCACTTCCCGCTAAAAATATCCCTAGAAATTTAGAACATGTTGGGGTTATTTGACTGAATAGTCTTTCTACGTAGGGCTGATATACTTACAGATTACTAAGAAATGCACATAGCCTACATGCTTTCTTTCCTCCGGCTTTCATTTCTGCTGTTATTTCAATGTCGGTTTCTCTACAGAAAAAAATGTGAACTCTTGTGAAGCCCAATTTTATTTTTAATACAATTTTGGATTTCTTCTTGAAAAAAAACAAACTCTAGAAACAATATGAAAGACAAGACTATAACATTATAGCCTTGACAGTCCTCAGTGGAATAACTAAGTACTTTCTTCCACCCATATGTATCAGCCACGTTCACATGCTTTTATATACACATGTGCACTTATATTCTCTGTGTAAAGAAACACCCACGCATGTTGTAGGTGTCTACATTCAAGGGAAAATGCGTGAACAATTTTAAACCACCTGGGTTGCTAGGCTTTTTTTCTCTTCCTCCTTCTAAGCTGTCTCTCTTTTTTTTTTTCAAAAGAGCATCTGAAGACCATATTGTGTTTCATAAATTATTGACATCAGTTTTAATCAGTGTCCCCCTGACGTTGGAGCTGTGTTAGTATTTAGTGCCTGACGAAGCATGCTGTTTAATCTTACTATGGGGATGTCAGCATGAGCCCGTGCCTAGTTTGTGACAATTTGAGCTTATGAAAACTCGTTTTGCTACTCACTCTATGGCTTTGCATTGCCCAGCTGTAATCCAAAACCCCCACAAAAGACGCCTCTGCAAGATGAGCACTGTGCTGGGCTGGCCTCCTATGGCCCTGGGTACCTGCAACATAATGCTCATAATTGTTTAAACATGGCTTTGAGGAGGGGCGTGGTCTCACGCTGTAAATGGCTGTGGTGCTTGGGCCCACCCTCGTCCCTGGCAAACAAGGGAGTTTATATTGAAGGTGTTGCCATGAGAAATCCAATGCCCTGCTAAAGATCCTTGCAAAATCAGAAGGCTAAAATTATTTGATGTCTCGTCCAGAGCCTTGTACATAGCTGTGGATGAGTGTATTTTTTAATAGTCATAGTAATTATCATAATTCCTGCCATTATGGTGATTAACCTTTGAGGGTTTATTCTTTGCCAAGCACTCACATTAATTTAGTCATTTAATAATTGTGACTGTGTTAATAATAAGCACCATTATTGTCCTTATTTTAGGGATGAGGAAACTATGGCCTAGGGACATTAAAAGGTTTACCTAAACCTCATAGTAGGTGGGGGAGCTGGAACTCTGGCCTGATTTTTGTGCTTTGGTTTATTGCATTTGCTCTGCTGCCTCTCAGAATGGATGGATGGAAAGATGATTGAGTAAATGATTAAATGAATAAATAGCTGTTACTTATCCGAGTATAGGAGAAAAACTGAAACAACCTGTTACTTTTTGCCAGCACTGGAGGTCGTTCCCTAGTTGTGTTGCGTTGCATTCTATCACATTAGTTTTTCATTATACTCAAACATATCTAAGTATGAAGTTGTATATAAGAAGTTTTCTTCAATATTAGCCAGTGGGCCTTGGGGGAGCTGGGAGGAAGGACTGTAAGTGAAGAGAGTATAAATACTTTGCTGTGGGTTCTTGGCATCCACAAGTGTGGCCAATGGCCAATTCTTCATTTCAGAGCATGTGGTCCTTCTCAAAGGTAGTAAAGCACAGCTGGTAATCTAAAAGTCCTCTTTAAGAAGGCCATGTCTTCTCACCTTCCTTACCATCCCACTGCTTCACCAGAATATATTGAAAGAATACAGAAAGCGGCTAAAAGTGGCACTGCAGTGTGCTTGAGTCAGGGTCTTACTAGCACCTGGTAGCAGAGACCCTTGAGGCGAGGAGGCCAGTACTCAATACTTGCAGCTCCACCCAGAGAAAGAAGGTAAGTTTGTCGGGGAAGGCCTTCTGGGCCATTGGTTTGTGTATTTCTAGGGTCTGCCGGGCTCTCCTTTTGCCCTGCCCAGACTCCTCTGACCTCCTCCTCCTGGAGAAAAATGAGATCCTCAGAAAAGTATTTCAGACTTTATGTCCATAGTGAATATTGGAAAGGCAGTGGGTTTCAATTCAGATGTTCCCTGGAAGGAATCCCCTCATTTTCTACTCACAGCTGGTATCGATATTTCCTTCTTGAGATGAGTTGTGCTTTTCATTAAGTAAATTTTTTGTCTTGGGATTAAACCAACATTGTATTCTTAATAGAGACTTTTATGTTTACACTTCAAAAGTCCACTGGGTTGTTACTCGTGTTATCTTGATGGCTTCTACAGTGTCTGCTATGCACACGGGCTTCACCAAAATAAATGGCTCTCTGGGGAACTGGATTATAAAACAGCCTTATCTGTGGATGCACAAGTACGGATGTTTTGTGAGCCAGTATTTTTTTCTTCCTTTCAGAAGTGATAATCATACCTTGGGTTTCTGCAGTGCCTTTCATTATAGGGAGACGGGAGGTCTCGGAGGGCTTTTGAAATGCTCAGGACTTAAGCCTCATACTTGGAGAGCGGTGCACAGTGTTTTGCCTGTCGTGTGGAAGCCCTTGTGGTCTCCACAGCCTCAGGAGGCGTGGCATTGGTTTGGGTGGCCGGGAAACTGCGGAGTTTAGAATGTCATTCCCAGGTGGTTGTCAGGTTACGTCCCGAAGACAGACCACAAACCCCTACTGAGGGCCAGGCATTGTATGAGGTGCTTTCTGTGTGCTTTGTTCAATTAATAAGATTGCCACAAGGAATGGAAGCTTTTCAAAAACAGATGTCCCCGCCACCAAAGGGCGGTTTGTACACACACAAGACTTAAGTGTGGACAGGCCTGCAGGGCCCATCGGAGAGAGCAGGGGGTATCAGCAGCTTTTGTTTCCAGGGCTGATCACATAAAAGCCATGTCCTATTATAATACCACTTTGAGGGACTGTTGTTCTAAATAGCACTTGGAATGAGTGAGTTGCCTGGGCCAGATCTTTAGACAGGGACGCTTGCCCAGAGCTATCTGCTGTCCTGAGGCTTGACTGGTGTATTGTACTGAGTTCCATGTTACATTTCTTGTATTCTTACTCTAAAAATGTACCTCTATTGCAAAGGCAGAAGTAGATTTCAATTTGCCTTTAAAACGTTAAGTACTTTATGAGTAGGTATGGCAGTACCTACCTGTAATCTCAGCTTCTCAGGAGGCTGAGACAGGAGTATTGCCTAGGCAATTTAACAAAACCTTGTCTCGAAATAGAATTAAAAACTGCCTGGGGATGTAGCTTGGTGGTAGAGTGCTTGCCTAGCACGTGAAAGGCCTTGAGTTTAATCCCCAGAACCAGGAAATTCTTTTTTTAAATTAAGTACCTTATGTAAATTACCCCATTGTCAAAAGGCAGACTGATTCTGGTAGTCACTTCTTACCTGTAGAAGTACTAGTTCCTTTCCATCAGCGACTCTTGGGATGCCTTGGCCAGGTACAGGTTTAGCTCTATCTCTTCTCAGAGCTTTTTTCTCCTAACACTTAAGCTCTTGCCCCAAGACTCAATTTTTGCAGAGGTTGCTGATGGCACTCAAAACACAAGAGGAGGTCCTGTCTAGGGGGACAGGTGTGCTGATGGTTTAGGAGTTCCACCAAGGAACAAAAAGGTGTGTCTGCCTCAGTTGTAGTGTTGGGACTATCCCTGGAGACCCCTGGGCCACATGCCATTGTTACTCATATACTGGCTACAGTTAGGTTGAGATGGATTCATGTTGCACTGCACTTATGTACGTAAAGGAGTTCCAGGAGAAACAGCTCTCCAAGTAGAACAGACTTCCAGATTATGTAAAGAGGTGGCTGTTCAGAAGTGAAAGTAAGTCTACTGGACAAGTATCTTGCAAGCCAGAAGATAATGCGCTGGATACATCCCAACATAGTCAGTGCCTGACTGGAAGAAGGTGCTAGAAGCGTGGCTCACTGGAGGATTCAGGATTAGCCTAGGTGAGGTCTCAGCTCCCTGTACACAGGGTCATGTTTTAGTTGGGGCCCCTTCCTGGCTGGTGCTCTGGCTAGCCATGGGTCCTTTTCTGCCTGCAGATAAGAGAGATTATTGATTATGGTGTCCAATTTTCACACATTCCAGAGGCTCCACACTTAAATTAGACAATCTGTAGGACCACAAGGATCTTTAAAGTGGCTGGCTTTGAAATCTAAGTTTTAGACAACTGAGTCCTAAATGAGGACATAAGATAGATCTCTTAGATTCCTGAGGGCCTGTGTGTTGTCCTAGATTCCATATTTGCATCCTAGAGTGATGGACACTTCCTGCCTGCTTGATTACAATTGTCAGGGCTTCTGATTTCATCTGTTCCTCCTTATAGTTGCTGTGGTGAGTACTGTAGTCCCTCTTATCCACAGGGGTATGTTCCAAGATTCCCATGGGATGCCTGAAACCACACATAGTACCGAGCCCTATCTATGCTATGTTTTTTCCTATATATACACACCTATGACAAAATTCAACTTATAAATTAAGCATAGTGAGAGATTAACTACAATAACTAAAAACAAAACAGGATGATTATGACACTATACTATAATAAAAGTTATGTGAATACACTCTCTCTCCAAATGGTGTTCAGTGGATCTTAGCAACTTCAGTGTGTGACTTTACCTTTCACTTTTTTCTCTTAAAAGAAGCACTTTATGGCTTCTCTTTGGCATATCTGCATTTCTAACGTCTCTCCTCTTGTACTTTGTGGCCTTTATTGAGAAAAATAAGGGTTACCTGAACCCAAGCATTGCAATATTGTAGCAGTTGACCAAATAATTGAGATGGCTACTGAGTGACTAAAATGGGTAGGTAACATATACATTATGGGTACTGTTGGTCAAGAGAAAATGCACATCCTAGGCAGGATGGAGCAGGACAGCTTGAGCTTTCATTATGCTACTCAGATGCCATTACCCATTTTAAAACTAAGAATTGTTTATTTCTGGGATTTTTCCATTTAATATTTCTGGGCTGTGATTTACTACAGGTAAACGAAACCACAGAAAGCAAAACCTGGACATGGGGGAACTACTGTACCTAGCAAATGCATCATGACTCCTCCATTCTGAAACCAGAGCAGACAGCACTAATTAATTGTAGCGTACTTTTCTCCTGAGTCCAGAAATGATCTTACAGTATTAGAATCTTTCTCAATTTCTTAGGTAGTCATTACGCTTTAGGCAGAATTAGCCCATGATGTGAAAACTTTGCCATAACTCATCTTAGAAGATCTTCCCTATGTCTGACTGCCCCCTCTCCCTCAGCCTGGATATCTTGTAAATGGACATTTCTGGAGCCTTCACTGTTCAGGTGACTCTGTCGAGTCTGGGGATGTAAAGAAGTGTAAAGCAGATGCCCTCTGTACAGGTGGAATAGGTTGTTGTGGAGGAGGCTGTGTGCATATAGAGGGTAATGCCTGTCCATGAGTGCTATGTGGTGCATGTGGATGGCCCCAGAGTGGGGAACTGTGCCAAGTGTCCAGAACATGGGGAGAGGCTGAGGTTCTTAAGGGAAAGCAGGTTTCAGATTTGACTTCCATACCAGGGAAGCACTACATTTTCGTCCACATCACACTTTCCCCCTTGATTTGTTCTGTTGTAGTGGTTTTGTTATTTTATTTTATTTTTTTGAAACTGGGTCTTGCTATGTGTTCCAGGCTGGCCTTCAACTTGCAGCGATCCTCCTGAGTGCTGGGATTACAGGCGTGCGCCACCATGGCCAGCTTGTAGTGTTTTAGTGTTCTTCCATATGCCAAGAACTTGAGAGACCACAGTTCCCTCAGAATGGTCATGTGGTCTTCCTAGAGGGTCATTTGGAAGTTCCCAGGCAGGTCCTCCTAAACCACCTTGGCTTTTGAGACAAAAGCTTATCTCTGCTCCAGCCTGGCACAGGGTCAAGATGCCCAGGGCTTCTCTCCCAAGCTTGTTCCCTCCATTTAAAACCACATCTGTGTGGTGTTGGCGGACAAGGAATCTTCAGAAGCCACTGCCCTCAGCACTCTGCTTACATTAGGGCCGGTGCAAAAAGTGCTGAACAATAACCGTTCCAATCCCAGCATGAAAAAGGAAACACATTGTGTTTACAGATACAGAATTTGGCATCTGAAACATGAAAGTACCTTGGGGTTGAGCAGCCCCCCGGGGAGGGCTGTTAGACACTGGCCCCCCTTCCCTCGGCCCTGTGGCCAACTTGTTTTCCTCTCCCTGAAGCCAAACCTCAGAGGTGGGCAGGTTGACTGCAGCCAACTCTTTCTTCCCTGACCCAGCCCTGTCTTACTCTGCTGCTCAGACCTGGAGAGAATTCACCGTGAGAAAGTGCTTAGCCTTCTGAGCTGCTATGAGGAAGAAAATTGCTTCTCACTCCAAGCCACAGAAATCGAAACGATGTTTTGAGGGGCAGATTTGCCTTCGTGGTACCTAGAAATGCTAGTAAAGAAGAGGGATGAGCATTCCTGTATGTTTCTCACTGCAGTGTATTGTTTTAACTAAGGCTAGAGAGCTGTTCTTTCTTCTTTTTTTTTTAATCACAAATATCTGGAGAAAAATATGATTCACATGTAAGTGATCCACATAAAGTGCTTAGTTCTAAATTAAGGTGAGAGCATAATTCTATTTTATAAGGTATGAAATATGAAGACTGTGTAAGGAGAAGTTCTGATGAAAGAAGTTGGCTTTGGTTTCAGGTGCTTGCATTTGAATCCCAGGTTCACCAGGAGTGCAAGCTTGGGAAAATAACTTAAGCTGTCTGTGCTTTTGCTACCTTGGTGGCTTGCAGACCTAGCTCAAGACCACCTTGTGTTGTACCTTAAATGGGGGCTCAGAGAACAGGTACAGGAAGGAGACCCAGAGGATTCTAGACTTAGGACTTTCATCAGCAAGAGTTTCTATAGTCCCTACTGTTACCGTGATCTCTGTCAAACACTTTATACATATTACTTCATTTAATTCTCATAACAGTCCTATGAGGTGGGTTCTAATATTATTATTGAGTAAATGTCTATGATGGTATGTATGCAGTGTGATATGTATAGAGAAAAACACATAGCTCCTGAGTGTTTATCGAAATCACCTGTCACAGAGTGCACACACCTGCATAACCAGCACCCACATCAAGAATACACCAGCACCCCAGAAGCTGGCCTGCACTCCCTTTAGTCATCCTGCCCCCCCACTTATCCGTCATGCGTTGGTTTCATTTTTGAATTTTGTGTAAATGAAATTGTATTTTGGCTTCTTTCTTTTTTTCTGGTCCTGGAGATTAAACCCAAGGCCTTGCATTGGTAGGTAAGTTCTCTTATCACTGAGCTATTCCTATAGCTTAGCCCTTCTTATTTTATTTTGAGACAGGGACTTGCCAAATTGCCTGGGTTGGCCTCAAATTTGCAGTCTTCCTGCCTCACTTTCTCAGGTAGCTGGGATTAGGTGTATTTACACCTGGCTGGCTTCTTTCTTCTGATATTTCCTTTGTGATTTTTACACATGTGCAGTAGTACTTTATCAATTTCATGGCTATCCAGAATTCTGTGCTATAAATGTATTGCATAATATTTCTCCATTCTACGTAGGGCAGATATC